ACCTGAGCAATGTCCTCTGGGTCTACTCTGGGTGGGACAGGATCTAATACCTGAATAGGATTGTGAGCCTGGCCCCCCAATCTATCCCCTCTGAGGTCGGTAGGCTCGGTTCTACCACCCAACGGAATGTTATTCGGGTATGTAATATGAGTCTTCCCTCTGTCAACCCTTGGGGCAGTAACACTTGGAAAAGTGCTGTCCACATATAAAGGCCCCGTAAAATTTGTCTGTAACCTGGATGGTGATAGTTCTGGTGGCGTCTGGATGGGTTGCAAAGTAACCTTTGATAACGCCTGATTTAACGTATTTTGCATAAGGTTTTGTTGCTCGCGCAACATATTCTGCATGGCCAAATTATGCTGGTTGTTCAATTGCTGAACATAAGAAACCCAGTCAGCAGGTGTTTGTGGCATTTCTCCTGTATTTGGCATGACAGGTGGTGAAACCGTTTCTCCCACCGGTGCCGAAGATGATTGAGGCTTTGAGCCTGCCATGTGGATCCTTCCGACGATCCGGCCGGATCTCAATCGTATGAAACTCTCCGTTGACGTAGGATCAGCAATCATGCCTCTCTCCCACTGTGGTCGCCAAATTGTTGATGCGTTTTTTCAACAATAAAAAGTAAAATTCGAAAATAGAGAAATATCTCCGAATTTGATAGATGAGTGTCTGAAATTAGAAACCTCTAAACACTGTAGAATACATAAAATAAAATAGGATAAAAATAAAGACTGGAAAATAAAGTGGTGATGCCCAAAAACAATTTTCTTGAATTTGATGTCGATTGAAGATGCCCTTTCTATACAATACGTAATCTTTAAATAACCCCTTGAAGAGACGGTTCGAACCGCTATCCGGTCGGTTACCATAACCGCTGTTAACTCCCCAAAAAGTTCTCTTCTATCGACACGTATGAGAACCGTCCTGTCATGTCCGACTTTTAAAAACCGTTCGCCAGTCGAAACTACCCTCCACTATCAGAAACTGCTTTTTACCCGACCTGCAGGATAACTACTTTTAATACCTGACCTTTGAACTTGGTCTGATTTCAATGTCTAACCTTCTTACGCCCGACCCTTGGAATTTGTCCCGACTAGGTCCGACTTCTCTATCCGAACTATTTAGTCCCGACCAGATCCAATCTCATCATCCGTCCGACTTTCTTACATCCGACCCTCGGACTTTGTCCTGACTAGGTCCGACTTTGACGTCCAAACTATTTGGTCCCGACCAGGTCCAATCTCATCATCCGTCCGACCTTGAGGATTTACCCGACCAGGTTTGATCAGACTCTAAACTCATCCGACCCGGTTACTGCAATCATACTTGGACTTTCAAAAAGCCCATTAGATGTTTCGAATAACCTAATCTTGGCAGGCCCATTCCCTAAAAACCTATCCATTATTTTGTGCTCAACAATTATAATTGTCAGTATCTTGTGACTAGTTTAAGTTTTTATTAATTGCAATACTTGTTAACTTTTTATTTATTTATTATTATTATTTCTTTTAGAATGGAGTCTGCCCACTCCGACTAGTGAGATACCTTATAAGTATTCCAGTCGTAAACGAGGAAGAGAAGATTTAACAAAGCCTCATGTAGTTCCTAAACAAAGCAGTCAATATTGGTTGCATTGTGAAAAAGAAGTTCGAATATCAAGTGATGGAAGCAAGCAATCAATCGCGACGTGCAATTATTGCAAAGCTGAGATTCCTATACGAAGGAGCTAAAAAGAAAGAAAAACAATGTGTTTTAACGAATGAGTCTCTAGGAACGAGACAAGGAAGTTCATTGATTTCACATTTTTTTTAATAAAAAAAGGTGTGCATTAAACATTTTTATATTTCTTATTGCAAATAGTATTTTTTTTTTAGTTATGAAATTTTTTATTGTAAATAGTAACATCTTTTTTATTATTGCAAAATAGGTGTGCTTTGAAGCTCATTGAGTATGTGATTATCGATGAAGTGTCATTTTGAGCGGTTGAAGGGAAGGGGTTTATGAAATTTGTGCATGAATTACAACCAAGATTTAGGGGGGTGTATTTAATATAGATTTTGTAGGATTTTGTTGGACTTTCAAAATCTGGGTAAGACTTTTAAAAGTCTTTTAAAATGTAAAGGTATTCAATCAAAACTTTTAAAAGTCTTTTAAAATCCTGAGGTATTCAACATAAACTTTTAAAAGTCTTTTAAAATCTTGAGATATTCAACAATCCATAGATTTTGAAAGTCTATGGATTTTAATGGATTTTTGTGAAAATTTTGTATAGAAAAAAATCTCTCTTGACCATCACAGATTTTGATGGATTCTTAAAATTATTATTATTATTATTATTATTATTGTTGTTGTTGTTGTTGTTGTTGTTGTTGTTGTAGTATATGTGATCAATAATACGATAATATTTATTACTATTATTATAATTTTTAATAAAAATAATAATTTAAAACTAAAATATATTAGCAAATTATTATGATTTTTTTTAAATATATATTTTTATATTATAAATATAATTTTAAAAAATATTATTATCACAATAAATATGTATTACTGTCGTCTTTTCTTTTCAATTATCGAATACACTATATTATCATAAGATAACGGTGAAATATGATATTTAAATATATATTTTTTGTTGAACCGTTAATTTATAATTATTTATTTTTTTAAAAATCATAAATTATTTATTTATTTTTTTTAAAAATCATAAATTATTTATTTATTTATTATAATATAACCTTTTTACATAAAAAAGTAAATACTTATATATTATTTATTAATACTTATATATTATTTATTAATAATTATTTATTATATTTATAAAATTTGTTGTTTGATATAAATTTATATAATTAATATATATTCACAAAAAAATTATTTTACAATCCTACAAAATCCATATAAATCCATAAAGAATTCAATCAAATCCGTAGAAATCCATCTAAATCAATTACTAAAATCCATCAAACTCAACGTATACTAAATCCACATCAATCCATAGACTTTTTAAAATCCAAAAAAATCCATTAAAATCCCAATTAAATACACCCCCTTAGACTCCTTAATTGACGAAAGGTTGCAGGTATAGTTTACGATTTATTCTTAGAGGAGAAAGCTAAGATTAAACTTGCAATCAATGGCCAAAGAGTGAGCATAACTACTGACACTTGGACATCTATTCAGAATATAAATTATATGGTAGTGATAGCTCATTTTATACGAGGGCGGATGCAATCTTAGGCAAGGTGGGTCAATTGACCCACAAAAAAAATAAAAAAATAATACTAATTATCACTAAAATTACGAATACGTCCCTATGTATTAGTTGTATTTTTATTTTTATTTTATGAATTAGTAAGGGTCGCAGTATTCTACAAGACCCATCAAATGAATTATTGATATCTTCTTGTTTTTTTTTTTTTTTTTCTAATCGATTTTTCTCTTTTGATAAAAAAAAGATAATATCTACTTGCACAATTGTATCCTACACAATTTTTAGAATTAAAATTGATGATTTTAGAATTATTATTGGATAATTTTATTATTGATGTTTAATGTGATGAGATATTTTGGGATTTAAAGAATCTAATTAAACTTTATATAAAATTTGATGAGACAAAAAATAAAAAAATAAAACATCTTCTATGAAAGTTATCTTGTAACAACTGCAATTGTAGAAAGATTATTTTCAACTATAACTATCATCAACAACAAATTACGGAATAACATGAGAGATTAATTATTGAATGATTGTTTTGTTACTTTCTCGAAAGAGATTTGTTTACGAAAGTTAATATAGAAGTTATTGTCAAACGATACCAAAATATAAGATCTCGTCGCGAATACTTGTAGTTATTTTTTATTTTTAATTTTTAATGACGTGAAAATCGGCAATCGTACCTGAAAATATACACTGGGTAAATCCCCGGCCGAACCTAATACCCTGGAAACTAGGCTCAACAAGAGAAGTCACACTAGGCAAACCATGTCTGGCGAACATTTGTAGTTATTTTAAAGTGTTAGTGATTGTTAATTTAAAATTTCGTATTTCTTTTTAATGTAAGTTTTTATTGATATATTTATTTATTTTAAATTTAGTTTGATTAAATTAATTTATCGATCCACTAAATTCAAAATTCTAGATCCGCCACTGATTTTATAGATAGAGAATGGAAATTGCACAAGAGAATAATTAGTTTTACAAAAATTACTTGTCATTTTGGGGAAGAAATTGGTAGAATGATTGAAGTTTGCTTGAGAGAGTGGGGGATAGAAAAAGTTTTTTCAGTTGTAGTTGACAATACATCTTCTAATGAAAATGCCATTGATTATTTTGAAAGAAGAATGAAAATGGAAAATATGTTGATGTTTGAAGGAAAATATTTACATTTGAGGTGTTCATGGCATATTCTTAACTTAATTGTTAAGGATGATTTGAAAGAACTTGATGCATCAATTAAGTCTATCAGGAATGCAATTAATTTTATTCATTCTTCATCTTTAAGATTGAATAAATTTAGAGAGTTTACAGTTCTAGCTAAGTTTGCTAGTACATCAACTGTGCCTATGGATGTGAAAACCAGATGGAATGCTACTTATAAAATGTTTGATGTTACGTTGAAGTATCGGAGGGTGTTTGAGAGGATGGATGAAGAATGGGTGCCTTTTATGAACTATTTTTCTGAAAAGAGTGAAAATGGTATAGAAAGGGTAGGGCCACCGAATGAGGAGGATTGGGAGAATCCGAAAGCCTTTATACACTTTCTGAAGAAGTTCTACGATGCTACTTTAGAACTAAGTGCATAAAAAACTCCCACTTCTCAATTGATCTATCAATCATTGATTGCACTCGAGATTGAAAATTGAAAAAATGTGCAATGATCTTTCCGATCCGACCTTTAGAAAAGTTGCTGGTGCAATGAAACTGAAATTTGATAAGTATTGGGGGAGTTGGGATAACATGAATCCTTTGATTTCCATTGCCAATGTTTTGGACCCAGATGGAATTTAGAGAGTTTGCAGTTCTAACTAAGTTTGCTAGTACATCAATTGTGCCTATGGATGTGAAAACCAGATGGAATGCTACTTATAAAATGTTTGATGTTGCATTGAAGTATCAGAGGGTGTTTGAGAGGATGGCTGAAGAATGGGTGCCTTTTATGAACTATTTTTCTGAAAAGAGTGAAAAGGGTACATGAAGGGTAGGGCCGCCGAATAGGAGGATTGGGAGAATGCGAAGCCTTTATACATTTTCTGAAGAAGTTCTACGATGCTACTTTAGAACTAAGTGCATCAAAAACTCCCACTTTTCAATTTATCTATCAATCATTGATTGGACTCCAGATTGAAATTGAAAAAATGTGCAATGATCTTTCCGATCCGACCCTTAGAAAAGTTGCAGGTGCAATGAAACTGAAATTTGATAAGTATTGGGGGAGTTAGGATAACATGAATCCTTTGATTTTCATTGCCAATATTTTGGACCCAAGAAACAAGCTTCAGATGATCAAAGCGAGCATCAAAATTTTGAGAGGATCTTCTGAAAAGATCCAAGAAGTGATTGATACAGTTAAATTTTTTTTGGTGATTTTATGGACAGAGTATAAGGAAATGAATGGAACATCGAGTGTGGGAGGACAAAATATGGAGATAGAGTGTAGTAGTGGAAATGGTTTTAGCGGCGGTGGCTGTGGTCTTTGTGATGAATTATTTGAATGTGTGAATGCACAAAATGAAGAAGATCATCTTGAAGAGATCTCTAATGAAGTTGATAAATATCTAGCCAATGATATTGAGAAACAGTCTAATCCATCTTTCAATCTTTTGGAGTGGTGGAAGGGAAGTGAAACTAAGTATCCTGTTCTTTCAATGGTTGCAAAAGATATTTTTGCAATTCCAAGTTCAACGGTGGCTAGCGAGTTTTCGCTTTTAGTTTGGGAAAAAGAGTTGTGGATCCCTTTAGAAGTAATTTAAGTTCTAAAATAGTAGAAGCATTGGTGTGCACTAGTGATTGGTTGAAAACTGATAAGATGAACTTCTTTAAGGATCTAACAAATAATGATCTAGAATTTTGAAATTGAAAAAATTGAAATGGGTAAGAAATTTAATTATTATTATTATTATTATTATTTAAGTAATTTTAATTTTATATTATTTATATTTATAAAATATATTAATAAATTTTATATCTTTTTACATGTGCAAAAGATATTCAAGATCAGATCCCAACTACAAAAAAGTTGTCTCTCTGATAAATTTGTAAGTTTTGTAATTTTTATGTATTAAATTTATTGAAATATTTTAATATGTGGTATTGAAAAACTTTTGCATTGTTGATAGGTGTGGCCGTGTGGGCGGCGGCCATGATAGAAATGAAATAGTTTGGATCAATTGAAACAATTGGAGCCGGAATTGCAGTATGGATTATTGAATGGAGTGGATGTTAATTTTTTTTAAAGACAGAATATGTGTTGGTGAATGCTGCTGTGTGACATAAACTAATTATGTTTTAAGAGGATGTGTGCTTATCATTGATATATTTTTGCTACTTTATTGTTTATCTTTGAATGCTTCTTGATTGTGTTTTAAGGTATAGTGTTGTGTGTAGCCGTTTTCAAGGAAATATATATATTATTTGTTGTATGTTATAAACCTATTCTACTTTTAGAGAATGTTTGTTGTTGGCTTGTTGCTATTACTGAGTTGTGTATGATATTTTGATAATTATTCTTGTTTGATTGTTAATTGTGCTTTAAAATATAGCGTTGTTGTATCATCTAATTGTTATTTTGTTGTATGTCTACTAATTCTGTTTTTTTCTTTTAGAATTTGTGCTTCTGTATTTACAAGCAAATTTCAGTATAAACGGTATATACCGGTATCGTACTGAAATTTTGAACTTTCGGTACGGTATCGGTATGTTTTTTAACATATCGATCGGTTCGGTATAGTATACGGTATGGTTCAATAAATTAGGTACGGTACGATATACCATCCCTAGGTAGAATGCCTATCGATTAGAAACCCCGCCCAATCAGCATCTGAATATCCAATGATTTCAAAATAATCATGATTTGTATAAAGTAATCATTTTCCGAGAGATCCTCTAATATACTGCAAAATACGCATGAGTGCTTTCCAATAAGAGTCACATGGAGACTGCATGAATTGACTCACTACACTTAATGCAAATGATATATCTGGTCGGGTGATAGTGGGATAATTAAGTTTTCCAACCAATTTTCTATATCGTCCAACATCAATATCAACCAATGGCTCCGCCTGTCCTGGAAACAATTTTGTATTTGGATCCATAGAAGAATCCACAACCTTACATTAATTCATACCTGTTTCTTCTAACATATCAAGAACATACTTTCTCTGAGATAGGATAACACCATTTTTCGATTGGGCAATCTTAACTCCGAAGAAGTACTGTAATGGTCCAAAGTCTTTGGTCTGAAAATGATTGTGTAAATGCTCATTTAACTTTGTTATACCATCCATATCATCTCCATACACTTGAGTAAAGCCCTTTGCAACAAGTCGAGCTTTAAGTTGATCAATGCAACCATTAAGTCCAACTTTGACTGCATAAACCCAATCGGCAAGCTACGGGTGTCTTTTCTTGCGGTAATAGAACCAACTCCCAAGTATTTTTAGCATGCAAAGAAGATATTTTCTCGATCATAGCTTGACACTACCCTTAATGACCCAAAGCCTCATGCCAAGAGCGAGGAACAGTGATAGAGTCTAAAACAATCACAACACTGCACATAGAAGAAGATAAACGGTGATAACTAAGAAAATTATAAATAGGATTCGGATTACGAGTGGACTGTGTACCTCGACATGGCACGACATGTGACTGAGGAGTTGCAACCGGGGAAGGCGATGGAACTGAAGATGAGTCATCAATAGGCTCATGTAATGGTGGAGTAGGTATATTATGACGCTGCCATGTATGACTACTATAGACTTGAAGTGGAGGCTTAGGAATGGGGACAACTGAAAGAGGAGTCACAGGTATTGAGGATGGAGATGATGACACAGTAAAGCATGGTGATGACTCAAAGAACGTGACATCTGGACTAAGGTAATATCGACGAGTGAGAGAAAAATAACATCTATATCCTTTTTGAGCTCAATAGTACCCAAGGAAAATACATTTGATGGATCAAGGACGTACTTTGTCCAATCCATGGGAATGGTCATGAGCAAAGCACGTACAACCAAATACACGGAGAGCTAAAGGGTACAGGGACACATTAGGCTGAAGACTGTTATGGGAATCTTATGTCCTAAGATAGCAGATGGAAAACAATTTATAAGGAAACATGCTGTAAGAATAGAATAAGCCCAAAAATGAAATGGGACATTATAATGTATAAGGAGAGTGCGAGTTGTTTATATTAGATGACGGTTCTTGCGCTCAGCCACTCCAATTTGTTGGGAGTGGAAGGACACGATCAATGATGAATAATTCCTTCAGATGAGATAAAATCACTAAATGAGTGAGAAAAATACTACCATTATCACTTCTTAAAACCTTGATAGATGTATGAAATCGTGTTCGAATTACGAATTTTAACACAAAAATTTATGAATATAGAGAGTAAATTCAGATCAATTTTTCATTAAATAAACCCAAGTACATCGAGAAAAATCATCAATAAACTTTAAAAAATATTGAAAACCAAGGGTTGAAGTAGTACGACAAGGCCCCAAAATATCAGAGTGAACCAGTGCAAAGGGCTCAGATGCTCGACTATCGACGCGCTTGGGAAATAAAGTACGAGATTGCTTCCCAAGCTCACATAAATCACATGGTAACGAACATAGTGACAAAAAATTAGAAAAAATACGCTTTAATTTAGATAGATTGGGATGACCTAATCGTTGGTGGAACAATTCGAGAGACTCAATAGATGATATAGCAATGGTAGAGGTATTGTGAGGGGACTTGTTTAGGTAATATAACCCATGAGACTCACGTCCGGTACCAATCGTCCGTCCCGTGCTGCGATCCTAAATAACAAGAGAATCAATAGTTAGTAAGATTGAACAATCTAGATCTCTAGTGAGACGACTAACAAATATGAGATTAAATGGACTTTGGGGGACATAAAGAACAAATTGAAGAGGTAAATTAGGTGATGGACAGGCTCTACCAACTGCTTGATGGTAAGCTTTATCACCATTAGCAAGAGTAACATGAGTTAGTGAATTTGATGGATGAAATGTATAAAATAAGGAGGGATTACCATATACATGATCAGTTGCACCTGAATCTAGGACCTATGGACCAAGAGAAGTCTGAGACACCAATGACGAGAGTATGGGTATCAGGTGAGTTGGCAGTACAGATGGAGGATGACTGCTGAGATGCTTGATACTGAAGGAATGCAGCATAATCTGCTCCACGTAAGGTAATACTGTCAGATGAATTTCCAGACGAATCCGTAGTAATAACATTTGTCGAGCGACGGGGTTGTCCATGTAATTTGAAGCAACATTCTCGTGTATGGCACATCTTGTGACAATAATTACATTGTGGACGACGTCCACTACGATCTTGATTTCCTCGCTCACCATGATTTTATTCATGATTACCAAAGCTATGATTTTGAGACACCAAGGCTGAACTACCAGGAGTATTAGTAGATGGGGTAGCCACAAGGGTATTGCTACCAGAGGAGAGTCGTTCTAGTCGAATAAGAACATCATCCAGCATGGGTACAGTGGAAGCTCCTAGTATCTGGTCTTGAACATGATCAAGTTCAGGCTTAAGGTGAACAAGCGCTAATACGGCAAAGAATTTGTCCCAAGCAGCCTCTGGATTTGCAGAACCGGTAGAAATCAAGAAACAAAACTCTTGTCGAATAACCTCTAGTTTACTCACATAAGTGGGAAGATCAAGCGTGTGATCTTTAAGTAAAACGAGACTAAAGACTACATCATAGTAGCGCTGAATATCATTGTTGTAAATGGTAGCAACCTTATTCCAAACTTCATAGTATGTCTCAAATAACTGATATGTGGGAAGTATGGTTTGATTTGAGGAACTCCACACTAAGGCACATAATTGGGCATCAACTTTTGCCTATTCAGATTGAAGTTCTTCTTTAATTTTTGACTCTCTTTTTGCAAGATGGTCAAATTGCCTTTGTCTTTTAAACCAAAGTCGTATGATACAATCAATGACTTATAATTAGATGCACCTCGTAATTTATCGGTAGTTTTTAGGTTGAAAATTTTGAATTTTAAATGGATCAACCATAGAAACAACACCAAAAAAGCTCCATGAAAAAAAATCCAATGGACAACTGGCGGCGTGTGGCGGCGATTGGAAACTAAGCCATAATTTTACCTAAATCCTAGTTGGCTTTGATACCATGTAGAGAAATATTGGGAAAATAAAGTTATATTATTCCAAAAAATAATAATAATAAGAAAAGGGAAGAGTGTATATATAGCAAATTAGAAAATTTATCATAAGTAACTAATATATAAATAAGATATGGATTTAGATATAGATATAAATATGGATATAATTTTAATAAATCTAACATTACACACGAAGGATTTGTTTAATTTGTATTTTTAGATAAATATATTTTTTATATTAGACATAAAAAATTATATTATACTAAAAAAATAATATTTGGTATAGAATAAAAAATATATTATATATTATATTTTTTTAGTAATATTTATCCACAATTCGTACTAATAAAAATACTAACTAAGCAAACTATATATTTTGTTATATTTTCTACTTGTCATATTTTTACAAGTTTATAAAAATTCTGAAATTTTTAACTCAATTTCTTTTTTATTTTAAAAAAAAAATTAATATTCTTTTCTAAAAATTTTAACAAAATCTCTAATAATAAGAGTACATGTTTTTTAGGATTCTCAAAACTTAAAATAATAATATATTATATTATTATTTTATTTCCATCACTAATAAT